ATGCTGGAAGATCACAAAGATGAAGCAGAAATTCGAGGCAACAGGAATGTGGTTTTATGTGAAGTATGCTGAAAATACTATGGACGGAATAAGTGAGGAACGAGCGGTTTTAATGGAAATATGAACTAACACTTATTAAATTGGCAACACGTCTTAAAATAGCGATAGGATATAGATATGAAGTGTATCTTATAGCATTTTTACCTGGACTGAAACTGGCGCCAATGGGAAATGCACAGCTAACTCAGTAATTTTACTTATACACGCAGTGAAGACAGAATTCAAAACCCAATAATTTATATATGTTCAACTGCTTTAAAATAACGTTTTTCTTATCACTTCTATTAAGTAATTCCTCAATTTCGGCGAACTTGATTCTTACTTAAATGTTAATCTTGAAATAAACCAAATTTGCATAGATTACATCTCGTTTCTTATTTTCATATCCGCTGATTTCTAAGGATTTATAAATCTAAGATGTGTAACTTAAATAAAAAACAGAGGAGCATTTAACCTTTAGTGAAACTTTATTCAATGCAATTTGATTACTGGTCATAAGTGAGGCTCAAACGTTTCATTTATAGTCAGGAAGTTCGACGGAGTGACAACTATGGTTGCCTTCAGTGCAGTAACATTACAGGGCGTTCGTGTCACTTCTCAAAGAAACGCTATTTTGAATTAACGTTTTGTCATCATCTATATAATAAATGCGAATGTTAATGTGTCACTGTGTCATACTTTTTCAACTTTACTCCTAGAGGCCGTAGACCAACATATACAATTTTGGAACAAGGCCGACTCCGTGAGCAGACTAAAAGATTTCCAGGCTGGATCCGGACCCACAATTCTGAAATTTTGGATTCCCAATTTTTCATTACTGTGATTGTTTTCGACGATTTTTACGTGTTTTTTTTTTCGATGAATTTTTCTGTAAGATAACAATTTTATAACTTATATGTTTGAGAATAATCGAAATTAATTGCTAAAGCTAACGAAAGTCACCCATGAAATAAAAATAATTGTTTTCACGTAAAATAAGGGCCTACGTACATAAAATTGTCTTTAAATTAAGTGTCGGCCGAAGAATTATAGTTGAACTATTAAAAGGTCGGCTTAAATATTAATGAAATACGGCGATCAATTTTACAGTTTTTTGTTGTTTCTCGCATCTACTCCTCCCTACCTATTGTGATGAAGGCCCAATCAAGATTCCTCCGCAGGAGTTGGCTTAAATGCTGCCCTATCTGGCAGCATTTAAGCCAACTCCTGCCCAATAGGGCAGCATTTAAGCCAACTCCTGTATATGTATATATTCTAAGTGTGATTATAGAATTCTCACCGAGTAATGTCTTATAATAAGTTGACAAGATTCTACTTATTGTAGGTATGGTAATTTATTAAAAACGCAGCTTTTATGTGGCACAAGGCCGAAAGTATGGAGCACCCAGTGAGGATCAAACTCTTATTATATGTATTATTCGGACTAGTATCCTACATCGTTGTTTTTATTGTTCAACACATTTTCATCAGCTTCCATCCTTTCAAGTTTTGCGGTGTAAAAACCTAGAGTGTACCTCAACACAGATTATACACGGTGTGATTCTAGACGGTGCTATTTTCTATTGGCTAAGCTCGAATATAACATACTAAGACAGAATATATCGCCTCCTTTTCCCAACCACTTTCGCATCTCGATGAGACGAGCTTACCTGGTTATTTTTTTAAAAATGTTCCTAATGAATAACAAACCATGTTTATTTTTCACTTTTTTCACGCCTGTTTATTTTAAACTCCTCTCCGATCTCTTCTGTACCGAAAATTAAAGTAATTACCCATGTATAATACGCATTTTTTCTAAAAAATGATGTGCAAAATCAGGGGTGCATATTATGCACAGCAACAAAAAATTAAAAATTTGCCGTAAAATAAAATAAGAATTATCATAAAACTAAATTAGAATAATATTATTGTATGTTTAAAATCATTTATTTAAAAATAAGAGTAGAAAACGCTGGCCTTTATGAAATTGGAGAGGTAAAATTTATAGGGTTTGAAAAGGTGCGTTTTATGTATGAGTAGAAGCATTTTCCCACACTTTCAGCACGATTTTAGGGATACGTATCATAGATGAAGGCGTATTATACATGCAGAATTACGGTAATTACGTTTGAATGAAGTTTTCAACCATGTCTTTTATTAAAACGTATTCTTCTATTCCGAACTTAAATCTAATAAGTTGTATATTATTGTATCCATAGATAATAGTCGGGATTTACTAGGAATCATGCAGTGTTACACATCTACAGAGATTTCTTGCGTGCATTCTACAACTTAATTTTCTCTGATTCCATAGTTTGCACATGATTAGGTCAAACTTCAAGATGCCTATTGATTTTGTTCGGCCAGTAATTAATTATTGTTGAATGGGTACATATCAGCCATTATTACCAGTTTGTAGTCTGGTGTCATCACGTAACGTGAAGCTCAGTCGTTAATACGAATAAGGAAAAAGAGTATAAACTTGTTTGGGGATAGTTTAGATTAGAGTAAATTATTTCATACTCTGAGGTATGAACTAAACGAGCCCAAATCATATCCTGGAGATTATTCCGCGTTAGGTTTAAATGTATATATGTGTATATTCTAAGTGTGGTTAATCTGGGCTGGTAAGTATTTTTATTGACTTTTCATAATAAATAAAAACAAAGCGAAAACGATAATCAGGGATTACTAGCTACAACTAAGTTTATCATATACGAAACTGAAGCTAGCAGATATAGATTCATAGAATTCTCACCGAGTAATGTTCTTTATTTAAATAGAGAGTTCAGACCTCATTCGGTCAGTCTGGTCACTGTGGCCAAACTGGTAACAGAACGCTTTGGCGAAGACAAAAAAGTACTTTTCCTGATTGGAAAAAAGGAAACGAGTTCGATTACTGCCAGACGCAGACTTTCCTTTTACTAAGACTTCACAATATCGACTGTTTGTAATTATTTTAATTTTTAAGAAATTAAAAAACAAAAACAAAATAAAAACACAGATAGCAACTCAAATGCGTATACACACTAAAATAACAAAAACACACAAAAGAAACACACACACATATATATATATATATATATATATATATATATAACGATCGTCTCTTCGATAGAATGACATCAGCGACAGTATAAAGTAAAAACAAAAATAAAAGAAAACGTATTAGAAATGGGACAGAATGAAAAAAGACAAACGTTGTATCTTCAATGAAGTTTAATTCCAGACTAAATGGCAACAAATGAAACAATGCAAAATGTCTCTTTCTCGCCAAAAGATATGACAGACGTAAGGGATTCTGGGATAATTTTTATTGCCGTTTCCCTATTTCTGTTTTCTTTGTTATTCTTCTCTTCCTTTTATCTCCCTTGAGTTGAATTGTTCTTATTTGACAGCAGGACCTCTTTGTCACACCTGAAGTGTAAAGAATTATCTATTCTCTGTCAGCCTCTTACTGGTTTCTCACTTTTAATGTTGTGAATTTGCTTTCGAAGACTTGACATCCCTGATGGCTTGATTTTAAAGAAAAGTGCATTTTAAGGTTTGCAATTTTTGTTTGATCAACTGACTGAATGTTTTTGATAATGGATCTGGAATGAAATCTTTGAACAATAGGAAACCTCACTTTATCTCAGCGCCTATAATCCGATTACATAAATCGTAATATAAAAAAAAAAAGAATCGTTGAAACCAGAATCCAAATAACAATGCTTGATTCACAGTCTGTTTATCTAAAAATAAAAAGAAAATACAAGTTGAAAAATTCGCACAAGGGAATAGGAAAATAAACGCTGTTATCTAATTGAATAAAATTAGGGGAAAAATATAGAAAGCGAATATTCTGGAGGAAAGAATTTATCTGCCGCTATAGTATTTGAATTTAATTTGATGCGAGAAATGAATAGCATTTTTGTTGAATTCCTGAGTTTTGCTTTTTAATCACAATGTAAATTGTAAAGACTTATTCCAACTTGTTCCTTAAAAAAATAACGACAAAGAATAACGTTAAAATTAAAAATCGTTTCTTTAATAAAAATGATTATAGTAATATTTAGCAATTTAGATTTGTTTCCCATAGTGTTACAATAGTGCGGTACCAAAAATGATCAAACATACTAAATTAACCAGCAAGGTTAACACATTTTGGCTGACAACCGTTAATTTTCGGATACCCAGTGTAAGTACCGATGATAGTAAAATTAAAAGATGTTACTTTGTAAATACTTTGGTTTATGAATTCTGGTTTCAACTGTTAAAAGAATAAAAAAAAAACAAATCCTTCTCATTTAACGTGGAGTATAAGGCCACATAATCTTATCGACGTGGTTTCCGTAGGAGGTAGGCTTTTGACGGGGTTGAGTTGCCGCTTAAGCCACTGGTGGACCACCAAGGCCAAAACCTGTCTAATTATTTAACCTATAGTAAGTAGGGATTAGAATATATGTGCCCATAACTTTCCAAAGTTATTTGTGTGAAAGTGAACGGAAAGACGTCCGCCTGAATTCGAACTCAGGATTCCTTTCCAAATATTCGTATCGATGACAACTGAGCTAAACGCAAAGAAAAAAAAAGAGGACAATTGAAAGAAGAATAAGTGAAGCAATCATATAATAATGATAAAGATTTTTAACGATTAAAGATATATAGGAATTTGCTGCTTATAATTTACAAAACACTATATCAACAGAGCCTGACTTAAAAAGACTGGATATGGGAATTTTACTGGCGTGAATGCTGGACCCATTTGTAAGTCAGTATGTAACCTTGACGTGCCTTTACCGGATAATTTTCATGGAATATAAGCGCATCGTGCATTCTACCAAATACCCTAAATGCTAACGAAGGGTTTTTATTCCATTAGATTAATTGGCGATAACTTCTTTTCTTACGTGGGCCCGGATCGTGTAGTAGTAATGAGAGGACAAAGTACCATAAAAGCTTGAAATAGAATTATCCATTTAAAGATGTCGAGTTAAATCTTGCCTCAAAGCGGTGAATAATGCATGCTTGAAAATCATTTTTGCTTAGCCAAGGTGGCCAATTAGTAATGAAAAGATTCAATTTTGTCACAGTTATTTCAATCAAAGCTTCTATTAAAAAGACACAAATAATCACGAAAACAAAATAATCTAAACAGGATGTTTAATAGATTAAGTACAATAAAGAATTTTTTCTTCTACTTCTTTATGGACCCTGTTTCTCTAAGACATAAGCGATAGAAGCTCTCCTCAATTTCCGATACTTTGTAGCTCGAAGCAGCATTTGTCCCTTTTATATTTTTCCAATCACAGTTCAGCCACCTATTTGCACATGCCCGTTACGTATGTAATTCATTCATATGTTTCCCACTGTTCCTCTAGTATTCAATACGCTCTGAGAATATCAATTTCTCTGAGATAAATTTTATATATATATATATATATATATATATATATATATATATAGATAGATAGATAGATATAGTGTGTGTGTGTGCTGTGGATAAAATGTCGTCTAAATTACGCAAAAATGAAAATAACACTGACATGTCATTTTACCAAAAATATTACAAAAATTATCTTGAAATGTTAAAGAGTAAATTTATTCAATAAAATCACCATTAGTTTCAAACACGTCCTATGGACGACTTCAGAATCTCCTGCAACTCTTTTAGACGCTCTCCTTGTTTAAGTTGAATAAGTGAATGCTGCCATAACCATTACCTTTAGTTCATCTTTGGCTTTAAAAGGAGTTTTGTTGGTCTCTCGCTCAACTGCATCCCACACATAATAATCAATGGGGTGGCTGTCTGGGGAGCTAGGTGAACAGAGGTAAAGGGTAATGTGATTTCAGAAATTGTCAGCCATGACTGAGTTCTTCTGATTGTGTGGAGTGGTGCAGAGTCCTGTTTCCAGACATATAGTCTTCCAACAGTCATACTCTTGACCCAGAACAGCACCACCTCAAGGCATTGATCTAGGCCTCCGCGTTGAGTCTGATGCCCCGTGCGAAGATGAATAAAACCATAACGTTGCCATCATTAGTGTCTCACTCTAAACACCTTCTTAATCACCATTAGATTCATGCAAATGTTTCCGAATCCTCTGCACTGTCTTCAGATTGACAAACTCTCTGAAATGTTCGCATTTGATCTTTCAGCGCGAATGTCAAGCAGTCTAGTTATGGCAACGTGAATTGCATTATGGTGCTATTTTTCTCACAGACAGTGCCCAACTGTCCCCTCTATACTGTGCAACTGACAATATCAAAAACAAAGAATGCGCATGCGCGAAATGATAAATATAAGTTTGCGACAATTTAACCATCACACCCTGATATATATATATATATATATATATATATATATATATATATATATATATAAGTTTTGAAGCCATTCTTTTTATTCCAGGATCAAAGTCAAACGCCCCACACTTTATGCTGAAATCTACACTGGGAATCGACACTACGAAAAATCTCCCAACATTAGTGAGACCGACCTGTCGAATCATTGTCAATGGTGTCGTCTATTGCTCCGACAATAGCCTAAGTGCTGACATGATGAACACGAGAAAAAGTAGGGAAATCCATGTCAACAGTGATACCAAGCAATACCACCGGACCAAATCTTTTCCTCTAGCCACTGCGGCCAGATCTTCCGATCCCGCATTGGACTAGTTAACCAGCAGTGGGTCGGCAACAGACGGAGACAGCTCGATTACTAGATTTTCGTTAGCGAAGAAACTTCTTGTTTTCATTTAAACCTTTCAAGTCCACATTCGCGTAATTTAGGTATACAGCAAAATATATTAATGTTCATTTCAGCAGACATAACTAAATGATTTTGATTTAGAAAAATAATATTATTGAATGTGTTATTATAAATATAGCAATGGGACATTATGTCCGCTTAATCCCATATCAATCCGTTTTAGGGACAATTATGTCCCACAGGACGTGTTGAAAACATTCGTGAGACACATATAACCAAGAGGATTCGAAAGGGTTAACCAAGAAAAACAGTTGTTTGTAGATACTGTTAATAAAGTCTTCATTGCTAGTTAATAGTAGACATCCGTTAGTTTCGTTAGTTTTTCGACTAAGGTGGCTACTTAATGCCCGTTGTAGATACCTTTTCAGGAACGTTTATACTTCTACAATACTCAGCTTGTGGTAAATTAGATAACTAAGCCGTAAGACCTCAGAATTTCTGGGAGATGGAGTAATAAGTAATTGAACAAGAATAAGACAATAGCTTAACGATCAACAGCTTCCGAACGATTTTATCTACACAATTCCACTCACACTGCTTGGATCGTTTTCCCAGGCTAAGATAAAGCCACCTTAACATATCGACTATGGTCAGATTCGAACGTAGCTATCCTGGTCGGGACGCTAACATCATAAACCCTCAGCCACATGCTTATTATTGGTGATTGTAGCATAAAATATTAACAGCTGCCTAGGACTTAAATTAATGTTGTACAGTAAAAATAATATTGATCAACATCTTTAGACTGTAAATGGATTGAAGACACGTAAAGATAAAAAGCAAATAGGCTAATGGGAAAGGCGGCGGGGCCTTCCAGCTGTTGAGCAAGTACTAATTCCCTACAATATGAAAGAAAAGATCACCAAAAATGTGGGTAAAATAAACAAATAAAAGAAATAAAACCTCACGGCTAGGTGGCGAGGCTTGTCCAATTCTGTGCCGGGGATCAGTCATGTGGCACCCATTAGTAACATCGCAACCCTAAAGTCGATTAATAAAAAGAAAATCTTCCCAAAGATTGGGCTGACGCCACATTTTCTCACGGCAAGTGGTATATGTTTCTCGCTTGACTCATCCCTTCTCGTTGCTTATGATACATCTTAGTGTTCAAACTTGAAGCATCTTCGCTTCATATATTGTATGAAAGGATTTCTTGATAACTTCTGGCTGGTATCACTAGCACGCAATCCTGTAGTTTATAGTTAGTATGTTTGCATCAACCTGGGAGTTTCAATCAGCTTCCGTTGTGTTTATTTATACAGTGTCGAAATAAATATTCAAAGAAAGCAATTATTCATATTTACGAAAGATATTATTATAAAAGATGTTGAAGATGCAGCTAAACTGTGCAGGGCATGTCTCCACGATGAAAGATCAACGCCTCGGTCGTATGTTGAAATATACACTATGGACCGTGACATTGTCGCCACCCTAAAAGAGAAGCAATAACACTCCGAAGAAAACTTTTAGCATTAGTCAGATCGGTCATCATCTTGATCCAGTTACAATTCGGAAGACCTACTGAATCACTTTCATTCGAGCCATCTACAACTCCGAAAATGGCTGCCTGGAAAGAGCTATCTGATGGACACAGGAAAAAGGAGGAAAAGTCATGTCAACAGTGTAACCCCATCAACAAAACCATTCCTAAAGCTTTCCTGAAGTCAATACGGTCACACCTGCTTGTCCAGCATTGAACTAGTCAACCGCCTGTAAGTCGGCAACAGACTTATACAGCCCTATTCTTAAATCTTTGTTAGCGAATTCTTGGCAGGAAAATTCCTTACTTCCATTAAAACCAACTGAAACACTTGTTTCTACATACTGTTACTAAAAATAGAAATAAAAAAACTTTTTTCTTTTATTCTATTAAGATATCTATTTATAGAACAGATTTATATGTGAGATATCCAGTGAAAAACAAAATCGCCCATTGACTTACACAACGGTGAAAGGTCCTTGTTAGTCTTCGAGGGGATGACATTAAAATGACTTTTAATGATTTTGTATTTTTTGTTCACTTAAGATTAACAACAGAAAGAGACAGTTTACATTTCTAGGGCGCATAATGAAGAAAGAAGGACTGGAAAATTTGATACTCACAGGACGGATTGAAGGCAAGAGGCACAGAGAAAAGCAGCGGAAACCTAACACAGCTTGAACGAATGGATGACAGATCAGGATTTTGGAGAGATGCCAAAAATAGAAAAGTAAATAAAGGGCAGAAAATCGTGGAGAGCCATGATCGGCAACGTCCTGAAGAGACGCGGCACGAAGAAGAGGTTTTCATTGATAGATTAGTAACTGTCAATAGACTTTGTTTTATTCGTACTCATTATTTGTTCTCACCTTGAATATCGATATTAATTTTAGAGAGACAGTGTTTCGACGAAGTACCCACCGGTCATCATCAGGTGTTCGTTTAGTGTATAGTGCTTCACTACCTCATCCAGATATTTCATGTTATCAAAATTGACAAGAAGCCGCCATTATAAATAATTAATGTCGAAATAATCTGATACTAAATATAACTATACCAAAATATAGAACACTGATACCTTCGGAACTTTGCGTTGTGTTATAGGAGTTAGTTAAACATGTGTCACTGTCATTTAGGAGTCCTGCGTTCAATCCCTGTATTAGCTAATGAAATAATATAACGAGACAACCCACGGTGTGAAGGACGTCAAAATGAAGTAGAGCAGTGTAGTAAGAAAAAAACTGATATTTTGACACAGGATTCTAAAGTCGAACATAGTGAAATATCCCCTTTAGAAACTAAGCAAACAGTTAAGAGATAGGAAAATGACCATAAAAACAACGGAAAGAGTGCTTAACTGCTATGTAATATCTCATCAATTTTTTGATAGTGAATGTTGAACAATTTCCTTACAGATAAAGAAGAGCCTTGAATCAACAGATATGTGGATACACGACAAATACTGGTAATACATATAAAATAATTGAATAAATATTAATTTTTAAGGAGAATGAGAACTTCAAGAAACCTGATGCTATCATTAAGAGAGATGGCTGAAATTTCGAGGACACATAATGAAGAAAGAGGGCATGGGTAATTTAACACTCACGTGGCATACTGAAAGCAAGAGAAGCGAAAGAGGAAACAGCAAATAACATAACGTTTTTGATTGAATTGATGGCAGAGCAGTGACAAAGAGGGATTGTAACTGGACAGTAACTGGACAA